TGCTCTATCCACTGCGCCACCTAGCTGCCCCCTCCCCTTTTCCCATTTCAAAGTCCAGTCTTTCAAGGAGATCTTTGACTTTGCCCCCAAATTTACCCCACCTAAACCATCCTCCTAGATGGAGTTGTTGCCCCACCCAATTAGAAAAACCTTACAAAGAAAATCTAATCTCGGTGAATTCCAGCCCACTATGCTCTAGTCAGACCGGTCTGAGTGACTTTGCTACATTCTCCAGTACTTCATTAGAAAAAGTCCTCCTCTCATGATAATATTTATTCTCTCATTACTTGTTAAGTAATCAGAGTTGATTTCCACCCTTAGGAACACATCCACTCTTCCAAGGGCACATAAGCATTGAGTGGGTTCCATGAAGGGTCTTGGGTATTCGAGATCTGCTAGCAATAATTAATAAAACGATTAATTACTCAGAAACTATGTCTCTCAAACTTTTTACGTATCACACTAGAGTGGGGGGGAGAAAAAAAGAAATTTATATGATAACTCTTACATATTTAAAAAATATCAAAGTGTACATAATAGATTTGCAGTATCATGTGCAATCATCTTTTTTAATAATACTATGTTATGAAAATGCTTGTTTTATTCCATAAATTAAAAATAAAATAAAGTTTTTCAAAAAGCAAAGAAGAAAAACTTTAAATGCCAAACAGAGGAGTCTACATTTGATCCTAGAGGTAAAAGAGGGGTAAGGGTGGTTATTGGAGTTTATTGAATAGGAGAGGGACTTAGACCTAGGCTTTAGGAAAATCCTTTTGGCAGCTGCTTGGACTCAGCAGAGGTGGGGAACCTGCAGCCTTGAGGCCACATGTGGCCTTCTAGGTCCTCAAGTTTGGCCCTTTGACTGACTCCAAGCTTCACAGAGCATATCCCCTTAATAAAAGGATTTGTTCTGTAAAACTTAGACTCAGTCAAAGGGCCGCACCCAAGGACCTAGAAGGCCACATGTGGCGTCGGGGCTGTAGGTTCCCCACCTCTGATAGAGCATGGAGACACCTGAAACAGAGGGAGCAAACAGGAGGCTACTGAAGGAGTTCAGATGAGAGGGGATAAGGCCCTGAATTACAGAGGCACCTTATGAATGGAGAGGATGGGGGCATCTCTGAGAGATGTTATGGAGCTAGAAAAGATAAGATTTGGCAACTGCTTGGTTATGGGAGGTCAATATTCAAGGATGATACCACAGTCATGAGCCTGAGTAACAGGAAGGAAGGACAGAAACAGGGAAGTTTAGGAGAGAGATGGCTTTTGAGAAGAAAATAAGTTCCATTTTGTATTTTTATCTATATTTTTATTATTTTTTTAGGCAATTGGGGTTAAGTGACTTGCTCAGGGTCACACAGCTAAGTAAGTATATGAGGCCAGATTTGAACTCAGGTCCTCCTGACTCCAGGGCTGGCGCTCTATCCACTGCATCACCTAGCTGCCCCAATAAATTCCATTTTGGACCTAGTGAATATAAATGCCTGTGAGGGCATTCAGTTTGTAATGTCTGATTAATGATGCTATGCTAGAGCTCAGGAGAGAAGCTTGGGCTGTATGCAGAAATCATCTTCACAGGAGCAGCTAGGTAGCACAGTGGATAGAGCACTGGCCCTGGAGTCAGGAGGACCTGAGCTCAAATCCAATCCCAGATACCTACTAGCTGTGTGACCCTAGGCAAGTCACTTAACCCCGAATGCTTCCCTATAAAAACTGTCTTCACAGAGATGAGCTGTCATGTAGGTCACCAAGTGAGAGAGAAGAGGACCCAGGCCAGAGCCTTGTGGGGGGAGGTATATCCCACAGTTAATGAGTCTGACATGGATGAAGATCCAGCAAGGGAGACCGAGGAATGGTCTGACAGAGCGCAAAGAAAACCTCAGAAAGGTGAAAGCATCCAAGAGAAGAAAAGTGGGCAACAGAGTTGAATGTTGCAAAGAAGTCAAGAAGGATGAGTACTGAGAAAAGGGTATTAGATTTGGTAACAGAGAGCAAGAGAGAGAGAGTGAGAGAGAGACAGAGACAGAGAAAGAGAGACAGAGAGACAGAAGAGACTCATGAAGTTGAAAGCCAGACTGTGAAGGCAGCTGGTGTAGATGACTTTTCAAGGAGTTTATCTGAGAATGGGAGGAGAGATAGGATAGCAGCTAGCAGAGAGAGCAGGATGTAAGGAAGGTTTGGTTTTCTTTTGCTCTTTTTGTTATGTGGGCATGTTTGTAGGCAGCAGATAAGGAAGCAGGGGAGAAGGAGAAGTGAATATTAGAAAGAAAGGGGACGGTAGGGCCTAAATGCCAGAGAAGACAGGAAGAGGTGGTCAACGGCACATGTAGAAGGGTTGGCCTTGGCAAGGAAATGGACCATTTCTTCATCAGAGATTGGAATAAAAGAAGTCAGGGGAAGGTGAGACATGGAAAAGAGGAGCTTGTGGCAAACGGTCTCAACTTTTTTTTTTTTAAACAAAGTATGAGGCAGTTCTCAACAGAGTGGCTGGGGGCAGGAGGTATTATGGGTGGCTTGAGGAGAGACGAGAAGGTCTGGAATAGCCACTGTGGTAAGTGGGATAGAGAATCATTTAGGTAAGAGAAGAACTGCCTTGCTTCAGTGAAGGTCCAATTGAGATTTTTGTTATTTAGTTGTTTCAGTTGTATCTTTGTGATCCCATTTGGGGTTTTCTTGGCAAAAATACTGGAGTGGTTTGCCATTTCCTTTTCCAGTTCAGTTTACAGATGAGGAAACTGAGGCAAACGGGGTAAAGTGACTTCTCCAGGGTCACATAGTTTGCAAATGTCTGAGGCCAGATTTGAACTCAGGAAGATGAGTTCCTGACTCTGGGCCTGGTGCTCATTGCCCTCCAGCTGAGATTAGAAAACCTAAATTTACTGTGCACCCAAAGAGTCCATTCAGTTTTGTAACTCCTCCTACCTCCCTTCAGCTACATCTGAGTAGTAGTGGAGGGGGCAGATGGTGAGACTCATCCGGAGCTGGCATTTGACAAGGCAAGATGGCAAAGGACGAGGTGGTAAGGGATTTGAGAGTACAAAATGGTGGTTATGTAAAGAACACAAAATTGAAGTGGTTCACTAAGGGGTCGACCTTGGGAAGGGAGAATTCTGTAGTCTGAGCAGGGTGATGGCCATGGAAAATACCAAGGGGTAGAGAAAGTGGAGGTCATGGCAAAGGGAAAAGTTTAGAAATACTGGAAGGCAGAGACAGAGAGGAAATGATAAAACACTATGGTAGGATAAAAGAAGCTCGGCGTTCTTGAAACTTTGTGAAATGGAATGCTTAGAGGTGATAGCAAGAGCAAAGGTATGGCCATCGCCATGTGTAGCTAAGGAGTAGAGGAATGGGTCAGGGGAGCAGAATGGATTGAGGAACTAAGAAATTAAGATATTTGAGGTAACATCAGCATGTACACCAACAGTTCCCTAGTGTAAGGAGTTGAGAGGGAAACCGTGAACCAGACGCTGAACTCAAATCACTGATTTGGTGGTTCTTTATCCACTGATTTCATAAAAGTGGCAAAATAACAATCATAGAAATAGCAAATAATAATAGCCACTCAACCACTGATTCTGTGGTTCTTCATCCACTGAGTTCATAAAAAAACAGCAGAATAATAATCATAGAAATAGTCATAACAATAGCCAGTTAACCACTGATTCTGTAGTTCTTTATACTGACTTCATAAAAAATAGCAGAATAATAATCACAGAAACAGTAATAATAATAGCCACTCAACCACTGATTCTGTGGTTCTGTATCCATTGACTTCATAAAAAAATAGCAGAATAATAATCACAGAAACAGTAATAATAATAGCCATTCAACCACTGATTCTGTGGTTCTTTATCCACTGACTTCACAAAAAGTGGCAGAATAATAATCAGAGAAACAGAAAAAGTAATAATAATAGCCTACATTTAGGAGCATTTTAAGGTTTAAAAATTGTTTTTTTTATTTCATAACACTCCCCACCAGCAGCCCTTGCTCTAGAGCAAGGGTGGGGAACCTTCAGCCTCAAGGCCACACGTGCCCTTCTAGATCCTCAAGTGCAGCCCTCAGACTGACTCCAAACGTCACAGAACAAATCCCCTTAATAAAAGGGTTTGTTCTGTAAAACTTGGACTCAGTCAAAAGGCTGCACCCAAGGACCTAGATGGCTACATGTGGCCCCAAGGCTGCAGGTTCCCCACCCTCGCTCTACAAAGCAAAATTACATGGAAGTCTGGAAGTCATAAAGCTTATGCAGTTTAAGTGACAGGGTTGGTTGCATCAAGAATAGACGGCAGTCCATCTGACCCAGTCCCCTCATGGTGATGTCCCGTCTTGTGCTGTTTGTTCTGTGTGTTCACGTATGAGGATGCCAAAAGAACTTAGGCACTGATGTTGGATGCTTCTCGACACGTTCTTCAATCACAGTGAGTGATGTACACCGTGGGAATAAAAAAAGTCATGCAAACGTTACTGGCAATCCAGTTCAATGCTAAGTGCTGGTAATGGGATTCTGGAGGAAAAGCGGTCAAGTATGGGCTTGAGTATCAGAGCTGGTGTCACCCAAAGGATGGTCTACAAGGTGATGGAGGCCAGAGGTGATATCACAGACATATCAGGGAATGGCTAATGTGTGGTCAGTAACTGAGCCTAAGGCTGTCTAGGGAAGGCCAGAGTGACTGGCAAAGAAGTAGAAGGCCGAGTGAAGAAGGCTCGCACATCTGATTTGAGCTTGGGTGTGGCTTGGACGTGGTAGCAAGCTCTGGACCAAAGGTGTGGGCTCAGTGAAGCTGTGGCTTCTCAGGCTAACACAACAAATGTCACATCCAAACTTTCTGAGCAGCAATTCCATAGCATCCCCTACAGAAGAGCAGAGAAGGGAAACCCAAGTGCAGCTGGGCTGAACCTTCCCCTTGCCCAGTCTGGATGCTACTCTTAAAAGATCACCCCTTGGCCAGGCCCGTAAGGCACCATTATCTCTCCTGCTGGAGCCTCGGAATCCTCACCTGTGGTTCCTTCAGGTATCTCCACCTGGGCCGTAGTCTGATCTTCATGTTCCTGCTCATCCACTAAGGGTGCTGTCACATCTGGAAGGCACCAAGAGTCAGCTTTAAGAGGTGCCTGGGGATGTCAACAGGCTCCACCCTGCCTGGGGTGGCACAGTAGGAGAGAGGGAGAGAGGCAAAGCGGAGGTGACGAGGTCACATGCAAAAACAATGGCAAAAAAAGCAAAAACCAGAGCAACCAGCTACTTGGAGGCCTTGCACTCATCAGGAAGGAAGCACACGGTATTCTTGGCCATGCAATGGCAGCAAAGGAAGCATAGAGCCCATTGGCAATGGAAACCAGGGACAGCCAACCTTACAAGCCTATACACAAGGTCACACATCCAGAGTGGTCCTGGACAACTTAAAAAAAAATGGTGAAGATAAGATGATGCTTAATCACTGTCTTTTCCTCGGTACAGTGTGGGAACCTCCTTTTGGGGGGGATACTTAACCACAGAGAGAGGCAATTATCTGTGTGGTGCAGTATGGGCAGGCTTCTATTTCTCAACATGGGTTACAAAGGAAAATAATTGATGCCTAGAGTTGGTGCCAGCCCTCTTGTCGAGATGGAGCTAATGAATATTCTTCACACAGCCTGCCAATTTGAAATTCCATTTCTCTATCCCCATTCCCCACTCCCCCGCATCTGAAAGACCCTGTGATGTTCAGAGCCTTCCTACAAAGGCTGAAAATTGTCAGCCTTTGAAAGTTTTCCAAGTTTGGATGCCTAGGAATCCCATGTTAATTATCAGCCTCCCAAATGCAGCTCTGGGCTTCCAAATAGAGGCCAAAGGGCAATACTGTTTTCCTATATACTTGCTGCTGGAGAGGGAAATGGCAAAGCACTCCAGTATCTCTGCCAAGATAACTCCAAATGGGGTCACAGAGAGTCGGATATGACTGAAACGATCGAACAACAAATATCCTTGAGACCCTTGGGTCTGGGTCAGAGATCTCGGAGAATCTCTGAGGGTAAGGCAGCATCCTCCACTTTTCAAAATTCCTTGAGATGCAGAAAACTCTTGAGCTTTTGGGTATGAGTTGGTTTAAAAAAAAAAAACAAATTTTTTTTGTTGGCATCTTGGATCATCACCTGATGCTGAAGCCTAGAGGAAGGCAAGAGGCCAAGAGATCCAAGATCAGCTCTAAGGGACGCTGAACAAAGAACAACTATCACCACAGACGCTGTCGAGGCAGTCGGTCAGCCTTGGTAAGGTCTTCAGAAAAACAGGAAGCATTTTATGTTCATCCTGAGTCAATCTGTGTCTCCCTGACAAGACTGAGTTCCGAGAGGACAAGGAGGATGAGAGACAATTTAATTTGCAGGCAGCTGGGTGATAAGAGTGCTGGAGAGGGAAAGACCCGAGTTCCCACCCTCCTTCAGACCTTAACTAGCTGTGTAACCCTGGGCAGGTCACCACCTTTAAAAAGGCTCAGTTTCCTCATCTGTAAAATGGGGGTAATAACAGCACTTACCTCCCAGAGTTGGCATGAGAGTCAAATGAGATTTAAGCTCTTTGGCTTGGAGACCTTTGCTTTAACCATTAGCCTAAACCTTTGCTTAAATAAAGCAGCCATATAAAGATGAGCTGTAAGTGTGACAGGTCCTATCCTGTACTGGGCCCTGAGTCAGAAAACCAGGTTCAAACTCTGGCTCTGATACTTGCTAGCTATGTGGTCATCAGAAAATGATTTTACCCCTCTCGGCCTCAGTTCCTTTATCTGTAAAATGGAAACAATAATTCTTATACTATCTACCTTACAGGGTGTCATTGTGAGAAAGGCACTTTGTAAACATCAAAGAGTTAAAGAGAGGAAGATTTACTACATTTTTTTATATCATATTTCGGTTATAACATTTGGTATTCTCTAAGGATGAGGCAGCTAGATAGCTCAGTGGATAAAGCAGCGGGCCTGGAGTCAAGATGACCCAAGTTCAAATCTGCCCTCAGACACACATACATCACACCAGCTGCGTGATCCTGGGCAAGTCACTTAACCCTGTTTGCCTTAATCCATTAAGGAAATGGCAAATAAATCCAGTATCTTTGCCAACAAAATCCACGGACAGTATTGGTGTTCTATGGCCCATGGGGTAATGAAGAGTTGGACACAACTGAGTGACTGAACATCAAAAGGATACCAAAGAATCACAGAATCTCAGAGTCGGAAGGGACTACAGTGGTCTAGTTTAATCTATATAGGAATAGAAATCCCTTCTAGAGTAACCTTGATGACTGTCTCAAATCTAACTGTGCTCTTGGTGCTGAGCACACAGAAGATGCTCATTAAAGCTTAACCAAAAAATCACAAGAGAGAATCTTCGAGAGTCACTGAAGTCCCTCCACTGGACAATGGGAAGGGAGTCACGTCAGCCAGCCTGCCCCAATGACATACATTTTGCTTGGGTAAGTTCTCAAGGCCTGAAGAGAATATTGGAGTAGCTTATGGCTACTCTGAATCATCCTAGAGAGAAGAGAATGTGACTAACATGGGAAAAGATGATTTGGGAATCTAACAACATATAAGATGCTTTCCAAGGACCCAAAAGTCCATGGGGAGAGCAAGGCTAAGAAGCTAGGGGTCTAGGCCACGATTGGGCACAGAGCCTAAGAAATGGCAGACCCAGAGCTGATGGTGGAGCACTGGGGGAAGGGAGGGAAGGATGGGTGGATGGGTGGATGCGTGTCTACTCTACAGAAAGGGGCACTTCCAGAAAGCTCTGCATCCAAAGCATAGACCTAAGAGAGTGCTGCTACTGTAATGACTGAGTAGGTGGTGAATGGAAGAAGACTCCACGTGGCTCTGAAACATTCTCAGGGCCCATCCCTGGAAACCTAAAAAAGCATTCCTCTGTTCCAGGAGTACAGGGAACATTGGGTCATTTGGTCAGAGAAGGATGAAATGGATTGGCTGTAAGCATCGCAAAGCAAAGGCAAGGAGCATGGCCAGGCGCTGGGTGGAGGGAGCAATGAAAGAAGGAAGTCCCCACCTTCTGTAGTTGGAGTGCTCTTAGCAGATATTTCAGAGACCTGTTCATCCGATCCATCATCGGCTGGGGTGTGAGGAGCATAGCCTGTAACATACACGAGGAACCCTTCAGAACGACTGCCCCTCCTCCTGCCTAAGCCACGAGGACCTTCTGCTGTTGTTGCTGAGGGCGTGTGTGTGTGTGTGTGTGTGTGTGTGTGTGTGTGTGTGTGTGTGTGAAGATACACATGTTAGAATCTGACAATTACCCCACATCTCATGCAAGTGGAGGAAACGCTGAAGTGTGATACAATCCTGAAAGGAAAATGCCCAGCTGTGATGTTGCAGGACTCACCTGTGCATACTGAAGCCCGATATCAAGACGTCTAAGAAAAGGTAAGGGTCAAATACTGAGGTCCGTGACAGCGACCAGAACAATCAGTAGATTCATGTAGTGCATTATATTGGGCTTCTGTTTATACTTCCTATTCCAAGGCTAATTGTTCAAGTAAAAACTTCTGCCTTAATTAATGGTCCAAGTCCATAAGGTTTATTTATTGAGCCTGGCTCTCTACAGTGAAAGCAAAAGTGGGTACAGGTCCCTCATTTTATAGAGGAGGAATGTGGAGTTGGCAATTAGCCATTAGTTAGCCCAGGTGGGCTAAATTTTAGAGGCTTTGCAAACCTTAAAGTACTATATCAGTGGTTCTCAAACTTTTCCAGAGTGAAAAAAAACCCTTCATTTTATTGTATTTTTTTTTTTTAGGCAATTGGGGTTAAGTAACTTGCCTAGGGTCACACACCTAGTAAGTCTCAAGTGTTTGGTCTGAGGCTGGATTTGAACTCAGGTCCTCCTGACTTCAGGGCCAGTGCTCTATCCACTGTGCCACTTAGCGGCCCCCCAAATCCCTTCATTTTAAACAAAACTTTGGCAGATCTTTTGTAGTAAAATTTTCTAAAAACTTTTTAATGCCCATCAATAAATAACTAAAGTTCATTTAAAAAAAACTTAGGGTGATTCATGGTTCCTTGAAGCACAGTTTGAGAAATACTGTGCTATGTAAATGTCAGCTATCATTATTATTGTTGTTGTTGTTATTGTTATTATTATTCTTAGAAACTCTCCAGGTGGTGATCTGCTTGGAGTTTCTTTAAGGGAGTTCCTTAGACCAGCGAAATTAAAGGTCTAATAAAAATGATTATCTTGTTCTTTTTTAAATGGGGTTCAGACAGAAACAATCTGAGAACAGTCGCTATCCTGCTCCTCTTTCATATTTGATATTCTGAGGACTACTGTACAGGCTGATCAATGAACTCCTTTTTGTTAACTAAGCAATAATACTGGAATTTAAGCTCATCTTCTTGTAGTCTTACTGAGCAGCTTGGGGACCACTCCAGCAGCGAAAAGAATACAGAGATGAGATGCACCGTATCACATTTTCACATGATTTTGACTTCTTCTAGTAGGTCTCTATGGGACAGTGGGGTGGAAAGAGTGGAGAGAGCGCTGGGCCTGGAGTCGGAAGAGATGAGCTCAAATTTGGCTTTAGCCAGTAACTGAGTGACCCTGGGCAAGTCACTTAACCCTGCCTGCCTCAGTTTCCTCATCAATAAAATGATCTGGTGAAGGAAATGGCAAACCACTCCAGTATCTTTGCGAAAAAAACCCCAAATGGCATCACGAAGGGTTGGACACAACGGAACAGCAATAACAACACTAGATCTCTATATTTTAGAAGTTCTTCATTCCTTGCAATTTGGAGACTACAAGTGGTATGCTGACATCTGTTACAAATATTGCAATGATATTGTATTAAAAGCCCAAAAAGGAGTTACCCAAAACCTAAATAAGGCAGAAGTTATTACTTTAATAACATAGTAGCTTTAAGACTAGAAGGCCAAACAGAAACCCAATACACAAATCTGCCAACTGCAAATAACTGCAGACATCAGCTTTATTTCAGCTCATTTAATTAATGGAAGGCTGATAAGCAGAAAAGACAGGAGTAGCTGATTCCTTTCCCTGGAAGGTCATCTTACCCTCTTACATAGGGTCTATTTCTGAAATGTATTATATTTATATTTAGCCTTCTGTTTTCCTTAAGTCCGAGCTCTCCGTACTTTCTTTCAATGGAGGATCACTAACTGTGAAAAGTGTTTTGGGATGCTTGGTAGAGAGTGCCTAAGTGAACAAATTTTGTTAGCATACTCCCAGGGGTCTTTGTAAAGCAAGTTATGTTAGGTTCAATGGAGTTAGGAGATCACCCACTTGAATGTTTCCTCTTCCCCACGAGGCCCTGCCATTGTGAATCAGCATCAGCAGCTTCATCTAGGTATCAGTGTACTCCCCAAGCATCCCAGTCCTAAGCTAGTCAAAGTCCTAAGGAGAAGAGACATTTAATTTAATGAAAGCTCACTGCACAGAGAACGCTGCTCTAGGCACTGTGCGACACACAAAGTAATCGGAAGACATGACTCACTGTCCTTAAGGATCTTGCCATCTGATAGGGAGAGACAAGAAACACACATAAAAAAACAGACACATCGAGACAACCAAAACATTAGCACCAGTGTAATAGCACTCACATCTGTGGGAGCTCATCTCTATATAACACATACATGTGCAGATCTATCTGCACATGGGAGTTCTGGGGGTCAGGTGCTGAGGTATCTCCCTGGAAAGGCGGAGAGCACCCAATCCTGAAGGGATGAGGAAAGGAGAGGAGGAAAAAGGGTCAAAGGAAGAAGGAGGCATGACAGCAAGTCTAGAGGGTATGGGGTGGAAATTCTGATACATGTAGACAAGAATTATGGAGAGGAGACCCAAGTGAGGTACTATAGTGGGGCACTCTGGCTGTGTGCTTGCATGTGTGCATGTGTGTGTGTGTGTGTGTGTGTGTGTGTGTGTGTGTGTATGTGTGTATACCTATATGAGTGTGTATGTACAAAACATAAGAATTTTAGGCTCCAGTTATATTCATTTCTAAAAACTAAGCAATTCATCTCTCATAGTTTGCCTGTTTATTGACAAACTCCTTAATTTATTTGGAGGAAAAGACCCACATGTGCTTAAAAGGAATCATAAGAAGCTACCAAAGCCATGGTTGCTAAACCTAGACCAGTTTCCTTATTTAACAAATGGGGAAACTGCGGTCCATTGAGGGAAATCAACTTGGCGAGGTCAAAGATACTTGTCTCATTAATGCAATTATGCTCTTTATGTACCTACTGGTCAGCCCTGAAGCTGATGCCTCAGATCAGTTACTTGCCACATAGCTTTTGGTCTTGGCATCTTGGAGTGGCTGTCCCTCATGGTCAGCTTCAGCTAAATATAATAAAGGTTGAAATGTTCTCGTCCCTCCTTTACCCTCCTTTCTCTTCTGGGCCCAAGATGCTCATCCCATGGGTTAACCCACTGCATCATGGACATTCTAAGAAAGGAGACTAAAACTAGCCTTTCAATTCCCTTCTGGCCTTCACTTCACCTAGAGTCAATTTTGCTTCTTTTGGACACATTCTCTATTTGCTCCTTTCACTGAAACCCTACATCAGTGGTTCTCAAACTTTCTGGTCTAAGGGCCTCTTTATATTCTTTTTATTTCTTTTTAATGCAATTAGGGTTAAGTGACTTGCCCAGGGTCACACAGCTAGTGTCAAGTGTTTGGTCTGAGGTCAGATTTGAACTCATGTCCTCCTGATTTCAGGGCCAGTGTGCCATCCACTGCACAACCTAGCTGCCCCCTCTGTACATTCTTAAAAATTATTGAAGGCTCCTCAAAGGCTTTTTGTTTATATAGGCTATACAAAAGGGGGGATGCTGGAGGTGATTCAAAACAGCTCAGCCAACTGTTAAATTACACGTCAGAAACAGGCAAACACTACAAATCAGGGCTCCATTTATTGTTTTGTGGATTGTTGAAACTTAAGAAAGTGATGGGAAAAGTGCTAATATTATGCAGATTAAACTTAAAGTACTTCAAAATCCATCTATCTGCCCCTCAGCTGGTTAGTAAACAAACATTTACCAGCATACCCTTGATAGTTACATAAATTTGCTATATTAGAAACTTTTTAGAAAATTTTAAAATGTTTATTGTTCATTTAAAAATAACACTAATAAATCCATGTTACATGTCAACACAAATAACATTTTAATGAAAATTATTATTTTCCAACACAAAAACATTTAGTGAAAAGAGTGGCATTATTTTACATATTTTTGCAAATCTTTTTAATGTGTGGCTTAATAAAGAACAGGCAGGGGGCAGCTAGGTGGTGCAGTGGATATAGCACCGGCCCTGGAGTCAGAGGACCTGAGTTCAAATCTGGCCTCAGACACATAATACTTCCTAGCTGTGTGACCATGGGCAAGTTGCTTAACCCTAATTGTCTCACTAAAGATAAATAAATAAAAATAAAGAACAGGTGGATTCTCACATCTATTTCTGCATTTAATCTGTTGTAATATATTGCTTTGGTTGAAGTATGCGAAGAAAATCTGGCCTCACAAAGACATGTATTTGGGAAAAGGAGGAATATTTTAATAAGTAAATATTTCAGTATTATGAAAATAGTTTTGATCTTGAAGATTCCCTAAAAGGGTCTTGGGACCCCAGAGACTACATTTTGAGAACCACTATCCTAGATCACAGTCTCTTCCTCATCGTTTAAGACTTCTGTAACCCACACAAATAAAACCAATGTAGTCAAGATTAGAAGGAAAGCAGAAAATTGGGGGGGAAATTTTATAGACAGTTTCTCAGATAAAGGTCTCATATCTCAAATATATAGAGAACTCTGACAAATTTATAAGAATATGAATCATTTCCCAATTGATAAATGATCAAAGGATATGAATAGGCAGTTTATGGATGAAGGAACCAAAGCTATATACAGTCATATGAAAAAGTGTTCTAGATCATTGCTTATTAGAGAAATGCAAAAAACAAGTTTGAGATATTGTCTCATACCTATCAGCTTGGCTAAAATGATAGAAGAGGAAAATGACATATGTTGGAGGGGATATGGAAAAATTGGTGTACTAATACATTGTTAGTGGAACTGTGAACTAATCCAATCATTTTATAGAGCAATCTGGAATTATGC